TGAAAGGATAGGGAAAACTGTGGGATACTTTTTTGCTTTCCCATAGGCATCAATGAGGATGTTGTAAGTGACTGTATTGGGTCTAATTCCTAGTGTCACCATCTCAGAAAGCAAAAGCTGCACCTTGTCAAGGGCAAAAACCTGCAGGCACGACTTTATGAAGATTGAGTATGTCTGTATATCAGGCTGGCAACCTGGACTGTTCTTCATCTCCTCAAGGATGTAAAATGCTTTGTCGAAGCAACTGCTCCTGCTGTAAGCAGATAAGAGGGCAGTGTAGGCTTCACGAGTCACAATACAGCCTTCATCAATCATAGCCTGAAACAATTCATGTGCTTTCCCGGGTTGCTTGCATTTTCCAAGCATGACTATAAGCTTAATGTATATACCAGTATTCGGCCTGTACCATAGCTGCTCGCGTAGTAGTTCAAAAACCTGATTTCATAGAAGTGCTGATATAAAGAAAAGATGTTCCAATATAATCATACAAGTTCCTTAAAAATTTCCTAATTATTCTATAAGAATGATGCAGAGTAAAAGTACAAGAATAGAAGAATAAGAAGGTGAAACTGGTTCCCTAGTTTACCCTGTCCAGAAGATACAGTAAATGTGCAAATATTTCCGAGAATAATCAAGCAAATCCCCTGTATAAGTTGTGGTACATTCTTTCAAAAGCTTAAGCTCGTAGTAAATGATCTAATTTATTGTCTATACAGCATCTTATCACCAATCCACATGCAAGAAAAATTGCACGTAAATCATAATACAGATAACAGATAACCCAAAATATTTAAAAAGCTATGCAGAAGATGAGCATCTCAAACTCTCAAATTTGTTACTGTATTAGATAATAAGTTGTAAACAGTTTTCCGATAAATGGTAGAAGATCTCAAAAGCTCATATCTGTACTTGACAATTATTTTTTCCTCCTATATGTACTGTCACAAAATTTCTTCACTTTCTGAACAAGCAAGGAAAAGAGCAATAGAATTCCAGTGTTGGACTTGCAAAATAAGAAAGTTACCATTTGAAAGAAAGAAGAACAATGAGAAAGTCATATAGGAGACATAATACCACATCTAAAGAATTGCAAAAATATCAACAGAGACTTAAAAATTTTCAAACCAAACTCGACCTAGAGTTTATATGCCCTTCTTGGTTAATTTTAGTTTCTTTCCATTTTGTTTTAATGCCCTATGTATGTAGCTCGTACTCGTTCCTCCCAGTATCCATCCAGATAATAGTAATACAAACTAGCATCATTTACACACAGTCGCAGTTGTCTCTCTCAAAATTTTCTCATATAACATTGTGCACATACCTCAACTCCAAAAATCCATCAAGAAAATGCAAACTTTAGCTTTAAGACAAACTCAAACAAGGAGCTGATAGTGCCAGGTTACTATTTTGACCTTCATTTTCTATCCTTTTTCCTCCAATAGCCACTGAAACAATTCATGTCTTGCAGAATTACCAGGTTGCTGTCATCATATCATATGACAAAATTGGGGAAACCAAACTCTCATACTGGGCAATGTCTTACAGTCTTTAGCATTTTCTCAGCTATAAACAGCAACATCAAGATATTCCAAGCCCAAACATTAAGAAACAAGAATCAAATCGGAAGTCAATCAATCAAGCAAGAAACAGCATTAAAATTCCAACTTTGATAAGAGGAAATAAGAAAGTTTCTGTTGGAAAGAAAGAATATTCAGAAAGTCATATAGGAGCCCAATACCACATCTAAAATTAGTTGCAGAAAATATCATATAGGATTCAAAATATTCAATCAAACTCCAACAAAAGGGATATTTTGACTGCTTATATGCTTTCCTTAGTTGATATTGATTTCATTCCTTCTCTATTTAAATGCTATACGTCTATAATCGTCTTCATTCTTCACAGTTTCCACTACCCAGCTAGATAATAGCGACATAAATTAGCATCATTTACAGCCATTCAATTGTCTCGTAAAACTCTCGCATAACAATATACACATACCTAAAGTACAAAAAACGATTAAGAAATTTCAAAATTAAGCTCAAATACAAACTCAAGTAACGAACAGATACTGCCAAGAAGAAAAACCGAATCGGAAAGCAATCAACTTAAAGACCAGAAAGCTGAACCCACCTTGAGAGCAGATTCCCAGCGGAGAGCAGTTATTCTCTCATGAAGGGCTTCGAGCACGGTCCTCGGCAGCAACTTTTTTGAATTGTTGGGTCCTCTTTTCTTCTCTATGACGGCCTTTGTTGCCTCTCTTCTAAGTATCACCGATATTGCCTTCCTGGAAGCTATCTTCCTGTTCACCTCCTCTTTCCTCTCCCTCGCCTCTCTCTCCTTCAGATTCTCGAAATCTATCAGCGCTCCTCTCTGGTTTTTCTCTCTTACAATTAACGTACTCGTTTCCTCCGCATTTACAGAATTAGTAAGAGAAGAAGATGAAGGGTAGTCCAGATTGAAATCCATATCGGATTTGGATCCCCGAATAGACTTCCGGTTGGGTGAGGGCCGGCGGTGGAACACCTGTGAAAATGGATGCGTGTGGGTCGCTGTGAGCGAGGCCATTTGGATTTCGTTGGCAGAGAAAAAAGATCACAATGCCAGAAAAATGGCTTTTAGTTTCTTCTTTTTAGCTGATAAAATGGCTCTTAGTTTTTTTGGTATTAGTTATTCCCTTGACTAAATGGGCCCAGAATATTAATTTGGGCCCATCTCCCAATTAAACACTTCCTTTTTTCTCCAACCAAAAAAAAAAAAAAAAAGAAAATCTAAAATTATAGAAACATTTAAATAAATTTAATTATTTATCGGATCATAAAAGCCTACTTTCTGAATATTGATTCCTTCTTTCTGAAATCCAACATCAATTGAAACGATTTATTCGACAATCAGCTCATTGAAATAGATGTAGATAAATACTATCTCCCTCTGTCTCAAATTTTATTTTTTATTTTAAACTATTATACAAGCTCCTAATACTCGTTTATCTAAGTATAAACTATAACTATTTTTTATTTGACAAATTTTTTTTATTTCCATTAAAATTAATTCAACATAAATTTATTTCCGGGTAAATTACTCTTTTATACTTTTGTTACAATAAACTCATAAACGAAATAATTAACTAATGATTGAAATAACTTCATGATTCAAATATACATTGCATTCAACATTTTCAAATTGAATTTATTTTCGATTTGTGCGTGTCATCTTTGCACGAGATGTCCCAAGGGACAAATTGACTTTATTAATATCACAAGGTAATATGTTAAATTTGGATTCATTATTAGATTACAGCTACAAAAATGGTGAGTTAACTGGCACTTGGAAAGTGATAAAAATATAGTTTTAAATGAGTTCACTAATAATAGTTGATTTTTAGTGCCGTCAAACATTGTAAACTAATTAGCCAGAGCGCCATCAATCATCACATGATTGAACTGCGAGTCTGCGGTATCTTCTGCTTATAAAATAATTGTGTTATGTAAATATCATTTAATTTTTCAATGTCATCCAACGGGTCTCGTTCCAAATCCGAAATCTGAAATCAGAAATTACGGAGAAGAAAGGTTCAAATTCAATGTCAACTCTTTGCCAAACATTTAGGAAATGACATAAACATACAGCTCCTCCCACTAATCACACTATTCAGTAATCAATCACTCGATAAAACCCACCAAACAAAATCTACCAATTCATTATCTTCTTCAGCCTCTTATTTCTTATTACTTTTACCTCTGCCACCGCCAGCATTGTTCCCTCCAGCTGCTGCCTGCGCCGCTTTCCTCGCTGCTTTCTCTTGCAATGCTTTAGCATCCCTATCCAACAAATTTCACCAAATTCAATTCAAAAAAAAAAAAAAAAAAAAAACTCAACATAGGCAGCAGGAGACGAAATAGACCGGATACCTTTCGCGCCGTTGTTCGGGGGTCAATCCATCGTCTTTAGGCTGCTTACCTTTGTTGCCGGCTCTGGTTTGAGCCCTTTCACGGTCTCGATCTCTCTTATTACCGCGCACGCTTCAGTTAAAGCGAAACAAAAATTTGTCATAGAACCAAAAAACTTTCCGCCACTTGCCGATGAGCGATTATAAAGACACATGCCAAATTTTAACACAATTTCAATAATTACTTCTTTTATTATCTTCTTTTTTTCTTCGCTTGTCAAATTCTCGGTAATCAAACAAAAAACAGCAAATTTAGAAAATAAGTACGTGGAAAAGGATATGAGTCATTGTTGATCAGAAAGGATCAGCAAAGACGAAACCCCCGGAAATTTCAAGAGAAACCAATAGTAAATCAACGAAACTAAGTTCTGATGCACATAGGATCTTCAGGAGAGAAACACAAAATGAGAGAAAGGGAGACCAGAAAGAAAGCTACCTGGTTGTTGTTGCTGAAAAAGACGAGAATGGTAAAAGATCAGAGAAAATCTTCTTTTTTTCTTCTTCGTCTGTGGTGGCAAGAATAGAAGACTTAAAAAGGAGAGTTGTTTGACCTGTGACCCAGTCGATCTAATGGAAGGCTTAAGAAGCCGCTTATTATTACCTGTGAAATTAGTATTAATTAACATAATTAATTAATGCTTAACTGAGTGACAAGGAATTCTGGAAATGTTCCCTTAAAAATAAAAATAGAGACAAAAGAATATCAGTCGACATCGATCCAATAATCAGTTTAAAATTAATTATATATAATATGGAGAATTAATTAAAATTAGTTTTTTTTAATCAAATATATTTTAATTACTTAATCTATGCCGCACTGGTCTAATATTACATGTGAAATTTTAATTCAAGTTCAATTTCTAAAAAAAAAAAAACTATGCTAAACCATATTAATCCTCTAATAAAATGGTGGTCCACATTAAGACGTACTAATCATGAACGTGCACGTGAAGCCATTAATGATTGGTCACCTATATATCATGGAGAAATTAATTGCTACATTTTTAAGTTTTATTGGGTCGAATTAATTATAATATTAAACGATGTAAATTTATAGGAAGACATTTAAACTTTTATAATAATTGTATTATTAAAATTTCATGCAATTTATTTATTTTTTGTTTTTTCCAAGTACTGTAATATTTAGACGAAGAATGTTTGTTTATTTTCGTTACGAACCAACGAGCACTACGAACGTAGTTCACTCACTGCGCATGCAACGTGTTACCAGCGGTAGTTTCAAAATTACCAAAATACCCCTGGTCGGCTGGTCCTTTTCCACATGACCAGATAAAAGCCAAACGAACGACGCCAGCAAAGACAGAAAACTGTAGTTGGGGCAAACTTGTAAAATCGCGCCATCCCGGCCAGACATTACAACTATGGATAGGGCTCGTAATACAAATAAGAGAAGGGCAGGAAGCCGTCTGTATCTCCGTAATTACAACCATGAATTTAGTGAATTAATTAAATTGTTAAATCAATGTCGTAAAAGTTGTGTTTGATTTCACTCAGCGCATATAAATGTAAGTAACTAAGTTAAAATGAGCGAGTTAAATATAATTATAATTTTGGAAAAAGAAAGATTATTAATAATTTTGGATAGGCTGATTTAATAATAAAAGCAAATTTTTAATTATTAGATTGCGTGAATTTGGAGTTAAAAACAGAATCATCCCCCCCCCCTAAAAGCTCGTTCCAATCACCATCTTTAACAAATCCAAACTCAAAACCACAGAACACATTCTCTCTCCAGACAGAAATCTGAAAAAAGAAAATTCATTTCTCAACGTTTACCGGGAATGCTTTTTACGTTTTCTTTTTGACAGATTATTTATTATTTATTATATAAATTCAAATTCAAAGCGGTGAAAAAGAAAAGAAGAACGAAGAAAAAGAATTACTGGAATCAGAGATTCCTGCTCCTACAACGAAACAACTGTGACAGAAGGTAAGGTATCCAATGCTGACTCAGAACTCCGTACAATTTAACGCATGATTACCCTTTAAGCTTCCATTAATCGTAGATCTGTTCTATCTATTTCATGATTGATACCCTTTTTTGGATTCTCATCCCGTCTTGTACCCACTAGTTAAAAGGCAACAAATTTACCGCGAAAAAGAAAGTTTGGCTTCTTGGTAGAGAATTATGGCTAGAATCTCTCTTCTTATTTATGAAACGGACGCACGGGAACTAAATCATTAGAAATTTCGAGCCATTGAATTCATCATTTGTATTTTCCCGAGAAAGTTTTGACTAATCTGATATCGTATATCGTATATTTATTTATCTCTTGCTTCTTTTGTACTTTATATGTTGATATTGGATTTGTTAACGGGGGTTGAAATGGAAGGTGGAGGAGGAGGGATCAGGCGGAGGGTTACCTTATTGGATCAGATGTCGGCGGTAGATAATAGCCGCGGCTCGCTGGCTGGCTTGACGTTGGACGACGTCTTGGGCACCGAGAAGAACCTGGCCGTGGTGCCTCGGAACCATGTGAGCCGGACCCTGTTCGATATTATCCGGGAAGAGCAGCCCAGCTTCAAGGACGGTCACAGGGATAAGAAAACATGGAAGACTTTCAGAGAGAAGCTCCGCCTCAAGCGCGCCGGCGCCGCCTGGACCTCCTCCGTCCATATACCGGCTTCAGATATACCTATCCAGAATAACAGCCACCGTTTCTCTCGTCGCGGCTCCTTCCGGTCAAACTCAAATGCGTCGAACCATGAATCCCCCCACCACAGTGGAGAATTGGCTGAGACCCTTCACACTTCCGATCCGGTTTCTTCCTCGCGGTCTATAATGTTCACGCGCCGGGCGTCGACCCGGATCGGTTCAATCACGCCGTCCCAGACAGAGTCGATCCACTCCGAAGATGCCATCGACATCAGCATGCCAAGTGACGCCCCTCCCTCTCGGAGTTTCAGGCCCCAGATTTCCCGTCACAATTCCGCCCGGCTCTCCCAATTGAACGCCGAGCATCAGCAGGAGGACGATGACCATGTGGCGCGCGAGAGAACGCGCCGACTGGGAGCGGCATTAACGGAGGAGAAGGCGTTGTCGGCGAGGGAAGCAGTGGCTGCGCAGGAGGCAGCGGAGGCGGAGGCAGCGGCTGCGGCGGCTGCAGCGGAAGAAGAAGCAGCAGCGACGATGGAGATGGCTGCACCGCCGGAGCCGGAGCCGGTGAGGATGTCGCTGATGGACTTGCTGGAGGAGACAGACAGGCAGATGGGTCTGGTGGGATCGAGATACACCATGTCCATGGGCGATGATGACTTCGAGGAAGAGGAAGAGGATGCAGAAGAAGAGGAGGAAGGAGAGGAGGAGGGAGGGATGGAGTACAATTGCTGCGTGTGCATGGTGAGGAGTAAAGGGGCGGCGTTTATCCCGTGCGGACATACATTTTGCAGGCTGTGTTCGAGGGAGCTGTGGGTGCAGAGAGGGAATTGCCCACTCTGCAATGGCTTCATCTTGGAAATCTTGGATATCTTTTAGTTCTTCTTTTACTCAACCCAAAATGTTGACAGGTTTAATTTTATTTCTCTTCCATCATTACATGTATTGTGGAGTGAAGGAATTACGCGAAGATGTTTTTCTTCAACTTTTTAAAGTTTCAATAGCTGTGTTCATGAATTGGTGGTTTCTTCACTTTTCAAAATGGTATGAGCAGGAGGATTTGCAGACGCTGCAACCAAAAAGGAAAACAAAATGTTGAATGTTACCAAATTTTGGTGGGTGAGAACAGATAGAAGAAAGAAGGAAGGAAGGGATCATGAAAATTGCAGCCAAATAAATAAATAAAAAAAATATATATATATATATATATATATGAGTTGTAAATTTAAAACAAAATGCAAATAAGAATGACAGCATGAGAAGCTAAAGTGGAATTTAATTGACATTAAGAAGATGGAATCTTGCATTTTTCTTTAATCCTCTACTTTCTCACCCAATTCAACCAAGTGAAAAAATTAATTTTAAGAAACAAATTCATTCTCTCTACCATATAATATTTCACTTTTTATCTCAAAATAACAAAATCCTTGAGATCAAAATTTTACTTTTGCCCATCATCACATGAAATAATAATTAAATTTATTCAAATATTTGTTTATTTTTCAAATAAGATTTAAATGTTTAAAAATAATACAGGAACCAATTTCATACTTTGACCTAAAACTCATACTACCTTTGTTTTTCCACATGTTTGTATATATAATTAAACATTAAATAATTAAAATAATGTGAAACTTTTTTAAATACAAATTCCTAAAGATTGCTACATAGTACTTCTTCCTTGCTCAAAAGAAGACAGTTAATTAAGAAGATGTTGATAGGGGTTACATTATAAATTTGTGCCAGGATTTCAATGTGAATATTCTGTCTTGTTTCCTCTTCAATCAAACCCGCCAATAATTCCATTCTATCTCTATATGGTAAACAAAACAACTTTAATTTGAAGTAGAGACTAAGAAAATATTCTGACCATCTTATGATGCTTCCTGTATGCTCTCTCCCCCTTCAGTTGAGGGTTTTGTTAATTAAAGACGACCACCCTTTGTAGGCCTGTAGCTGACTCCATGAGCAGGTTTGGTAGTGAAGTTTAACTGGAGGCTATCCATTGTTGTGGTAGCATTTGACGGGAAGGGCATTTATCTGGTTCCCTCACAATGTAAATTTGATCTCCAACTTCTTTGGTAGAATCCTGGTTGCGGTACCATGTCCATAAAGCCCATGTCTCATTTTTCACCTGCAATTCGCATACTGATCAGGTTGTAAATCTTTTAGTTGTCCCAATGCCAAGCTCACCAGTACTAGGAAACTTGTGTGTTCTATACAACCAAGACCAGGAGCATTAAGAAAGAGACCAATAGAGTATATAAATTCATGCAGTCAAACTATTGGCGTCAGAATTAAAACATGCTATTTCAAATCTGGAAAACCTCACTCCATATTGGCCTATTCCTGTCAGCCTTTTGGTTTGCACTTACTTGTTTGTCCATAATATGGGTATTACTTACATAAAGTTTTTGAAAGAGACATAATTTATTATTATAATAACATTTATGTAAACTTGAGAGGCTATTAGAATATAAATAATAAAAATCAAAATTTTCTATAATCAAAAGAAATAAAGTTTTTTATCTCACGTGTTTTTGTATTTTGTGCACTACTTATTTTTTTGACTCTTATCAAAGTAGTCACTCTCTAATTCCTAGTGACTAATGGAAAGTTAATTTGAGAGAAGACATTCAAATTCAATAGCTTTAATTCCTGGGAAAAAAAAAACTCTCCGATTCCTAGTGATTGATAGAAAGTTAACTTTTTCATATTACATAATAGATTGTAATTAATTTTCCCAATAGAAAGTTAACTTTTTCATATTACATAATAGATTGTAATTTTACCAAAGCCTATGTCCATAAAAAAGGTCTAACTTATACTTTTTCCTATGATAAATAGATCTAATTTATACTTACATATTAATACACTTCCTCTAGCACAAACCAATTTGACTGTTATGGATGGATATTCAAACATTAAACTTTTGACTATGACATAGTATACCAAAAATTCAAGTTGATGGGAAAAGTTCAGCTTATTGTTTATGCATCAATACTTCATATGTCTATATTTTGGTTTCCTAGCAAATTTAACCCTGCATATCTGTAAACTACCTAAACCTAGCATGTCTGTAAACATACCTCCATTATGATTTTGTGCAAATAGAAGAAAAGGGTTCTCCGTACTAAAGGTGGTATTCAATGAAATAAAGGTAAGGTAAGCATACATGTGGTATGAGGGAATGGAAATTAATCACAACGTTGTGAGCGAAGGTCTCTGAAGCGCCTTGAAGATACTGACTCTAAGGAGGCATGTATATTTTCAAATACCAGTTTAAACTGAAGACATTAAGCAGTGTTCTCAATGGCATCAAACTTGAAATGTGAGAGAGAGAGAGAGAGAGAGAAGGAGAGCACGTATATTTTTGAAGAAAACCAGTTTAAATTGAACACATTAAGCAAGGTTCTTAATGGTATCAAACTTGAAATGAGAGAGAGAGAGAGAGAGGCACCTCTAAAATCCCATGGCCGAAGCTACTCTCTCTGAAGGCACTATAGTCAGGTTGTTGATCCCAGCAGAATTTGCCTGCAGCCGGGCCGCTAGTGAAGTTTGTTGCGCACAAGCCACCCATGTATGCATCAGCTCTAGTTGGCGGATCTGGACAATTACCAGGTTCATCAGCATGTTCAATTGCCATTTTTTCCCGATTGCCACCATCTCCAATCATGATATGTACGGGACCACAGGGATCTAATGTATAATTGTAAACTCGGTTTGATCTCTCATAGGCATGAACCTAGAAATTATTTGCAAGCAGTCACATTTAGTGCAAACAGATTGGTATTCAGAGGAGCAGATTACATCCTCTTTATGTACCTCGAAAAAGTAGAACTGGTTCACTAAGGTATCCAGTTTTTGGGTTTTGTTTCTCATAGCATTAGAATTAAGTCAAGTATCTCACCATGCACCTTCCTTAATGTCTTTCAATTTCTTTATAATCTTATTGTTCATTTTGGTGATATTATGATCTTCTCCAGAGGGAAACCTCTGTTCTTTTCAAATGCTATGAGTATAATGGAGCTGTTCCATTCACATCTACTGCATTTGAACAATATTTGTTTTTTCATCACTTACATGTCCACTAAACACTACGTCAACACCATAAGAGTAAAGTAATTCCTCCATTGCCACCCTCATACACTCTGCCTCCCTATAATGGGCTCTGTAAGAACTATACCACGGTGGGTGCCAGGCAGCTATCAGCCATGGAGTTATAAATCTATCAACCTTAGCCAAGTCCCTCTCCAGCCACTTATATTGTTCTGCTGCAAAAGAAAAACAAACTCATTGATAAATGAAATAGCTTAGCAAGTAACTGGTATATTTCTTTGTCCTTTTCTTTCTTTCTTTCTTTCTTTTTTCCAAGAAGAAAGTTGGCTTAAACAATTTGGACGTTGAATGGCAGACTTAGCAAGTTAAATGGTAATATTGGGACAATAAGTTTGGGCACTTCTTCCTTTATACTATTCAGCAACATATCCAATAAATTGATTCAATCACAACATAAATTCTCAATGAAAATGATCATGTCAACAGCTTTTGGCTGCTTGATGTTAAATAACAGAAATTTCTGCTGTTTGCAAGTGCAGGTTTTTCCTGTCCTTCCAAAAATGCCTATTTAGTAATCAGTATATTTTCTGCTTCGTTACCATCTAATATATCAATTTCTATCATACAATAAGAACAGTTTCATCTTAGAAGGACGGCTATTATTTTATGTGCATCTAGACCGAGCCTTTTTTACTTTTCCTCTGCCAAACCCCCCAACTCCAAATGTGCGTCTTGCCTTTCCTTTTTCAGCTTTTCTCCCGACTTCTACAGGCACTCCAAATTTTGGGCTTTCCTTTTTTATGTTATCTTAGAACTCAGAAGGTCCTTTGGTGCTAAATTGTAGGCAATGCCAATAAAGAGTCTCTGTTCCTGAGGCTATGTTTTGGAACAAATGAACTTATTTGTGAATTTATTAGAAAGACAAAGGATTATAACTGATATAATGAAAACCTTACACAATAGTGAAAATTAACAACCTAATCGATTTAAAAAGTGAACTTGAAACCATATTCAATTAAAAATGATGAAAGTTAAAATGTATTGCTTTGATTCTTTTATACGAGAATAATCTTCACATCTTTTACTAGGATTTTCTCCATCTTATAATCGAAAAGCTGTATTTTCAAGATTCCACAAAAACAATTCGTTTTTTTTCCAAACATAGACCAAGTATGTATGCTTTTTTAAATGCAAAGAAATATATAACTTTGTTCAACTTCTTGAATGCTTAGAGACTTTATTCTGTTGGTACTTTTTTCTGTTGTTCTTGTTGGAGGTTGTCTTGTCCTCTGTGTGTGTATTTCTTTCCTTCCTATTATCGAATAAAGTTGCTTCTCTTATCTAAGAAAAATGCTAGAAGTCCATTATTCTTCCAATTCGTTTCTTTTTTTTTAAAAAAACCCCTTAAAAAGGCAGATTACAAAAGCTAACAACAAACTCATCAAGAAACCTGGACAGGTATAATACAGAACATCAGGGAAGAAAAGCCTACAGAAAAGCAGGACGAATTACCTGACTCATTAAAAGCAACATAGGCTCCAAGCATGATAAAATGTATCCCTCCTGCATTGAAAGAATAGTAGAATTTTGATGAAGAGCCACTTTCTTCGGATGGGAATGCAAATCTGGAACAGTAAGCAGCAAATGTCAGATTTCCAGCCTGTTCTTCTATTTCATGGTTCCCTTCTATAACCATCATTGGAATATTTGAAACTAAACTCTGCATGAACCTGTGAGGAAACATTCAGCAATAGAAGTTTTTCAGCCATAAAAACTTCCCAAACAATGAAAGTGAAAACAATGAGTGACACAAGGACATGCATCTCACCTTCCCCAATAATCCCAACGAGGTTGATATGTCTCATGGATTGGAGTTTGTGAAAATGAGCAAGAATAACAGTCGGAGCTACTTCCATTAGTGAGGTATAAGTTTGCATAAGTTACATCACCAAGTAAAAGAACTAGATCAGGCATGTTATGATTCAAATGACCAATTGTATCAGTTGTATTGTAAGTAAGACCAAGATCCCCAACAATTCCTATCTTGTGAGGGTAACTTCGTGGGTCAGAAACTGGCATGGTCCTGAAATGGTGAATAGAACTCATGGCAGGTATTGAAGGATCCCCACATCGATAGTAGTACAATGTATTAGGTTCTAACCCTGTATAGACACAATAAATTACTCCACAGCCACACAAAAAAAAATAAAAAAAAAAATACAGTGCAAGTCCTAAAAATTGAAGAGACAAAAATTGAGGAATCAAAACCTGTAAGACGAACATGGTGTATAATTCCAGATGTGTAGTTCTGGAGGCCATCAAAAGGGTAAAGCTGACTGTAAACAAGGGAATAACCACTTGCTCGATGACTTAGTGAATGACTCAACCTTCCAAAGCGCACAACACTCGACACAGATTTTGGGTCTAGTGGCTTTATGTTGTTACCAATTTGGAATTCCCCTGAGAACACACAAGAATCAGAAATAAGAATATCTTTCATTTCATCAAGTTTTCCTGGCAAACCAGAAAATGGAAAATCATCGATGTACGCCCTGAAAATAAGAGGACTGACCATGGATTTCTAAAAAAAAGCTCATTATATCAAGTGAAACTAAGACATCAAAAGGTTGACTGGAGCAACTCCATTGAACCTATATCACTAAAAAGCCGCGCAACTAGTGATTATCAGTGTTTTAATAATCAGGAACAACTCTTATTTTCAATCCACGACTGAAAAAAAAAAATTAAGAAAGAGAAGAAGCCAAATGGAGAAGAACCTGTAATCCAAGAGACCCAGACGGAGTCGTAGTTGGCAGAGAGAGAGATTGAAATCTGTTCGGGCTGGAATGCCTTGACAGGGCGTTGCACCCTGGGATCAGAATCGGGCAAGTCAACGGCATTTCCACGCAAAGCGACGTCGTAAGGGACGGTAACGGGGTCGAAAGGGCCATCCAAAGTGGAGGGAATATTACTCGTAGGACGAGGCGCGAAGGCGGAGCCGAGGAAGAGAGGGAAAAAGCAGGGCGCAGCAAAAGCTAGAGAGAGCAAAAACGCCATCGTTTAGGGGGGCGATTCTGGCCTCGCATGGAGACCGAGAGAGATAGTGAGAGCGAAGAGAGTGATGTCACGTGATAGTTGCGGCCTCGGACGGTTATAGGCAGTTAGCTGTCCTTTGTAGGCGGTGGCGGGTGTGACTGTAAATAATAAAAATAAATAAATATAAAATATGAATAATTTTAATTTGAAATCAACGGCCAGAATTCTCTGACTCAGTTGACTTTTTCTGATTTTTGAGATGAAATGTGAGAAACGACGTACATTATACGGATACCTCCCAAAAGAGAAAAGTAGTTCACACGTCAAACCTTTACAAATTTTTGATTAAGAATTTTGCTTAATCAACAAGTTTATAGTGTTTTTAGGATAATAGCATTATTTCTACAAAAGTTGAAGTATTAATTTAGTTATTATATTATTTTAAAATATTTAAATTATGATATATATCATTCTTTTTATTTTAATTCTAATATTTTTAATTAATTTTTATTTTAATTTTTATCCTTAAACTTTCATAAATAAAAATATTATGTAAACTTCTAAGATTATGACGTATCAAAATTTAAAAATTTAAATGCCAATTTAGTTTTTTTTTTTAATTATAAAAATTAAAAAATTTATGTTAGATCTCACATTATTAAACTTATAACATTTCACGTAAGTAATAATTCAAGCATAATGTGTTAAATGTTTAATATAAATTATTGTAACATTATTAATAAAAATAAAAGATCAAAGAATAAATATAAAATATTTAAAAATACAGAGACAAAATGTAATACCCCAAATTAATTTTTAATGTAATTTAAAATTAATTTATAAATATAATTTTTTAATTTTAATTTAATGTAAAAATGAAGAAAATTTTATTGAGCATTAAATTAAAAATAATTTTGAAAAAATGGTGAAAATTTGAGTTTTGAGATATTTTTTAAAGAAAAATCGAAAACTAGGGATCAAATAAAATTTAGAGAAGTTGTGCCACGTGGGATGCCCAATCAGCAGCCCCAACGAAGTAAGACGCGTCGTGTGGCAAACAGATGCTGACGCGGTGCCACGCAGGCGATCCATGTGCCTGCAATCCAACGACCCATATTTGCCCCCGCATGCATGAACGGCTTGGATGCGTTGCATCTCCAAACGCGATCAACGGTTCAGATCCGCTTTCTATTTAAATACTATCGGACAACCTACATTAGATCGCGATAAATGATTCAGATTCACCCCCTATTTAATCGTGATCGGACTATCCAGATAAAAAAAGGACGAGTATAAATGATCCCCTTCATACCAAACCCTAACCCTAGCCGCCAAACTCCCATCGCCGGAGAAGAAGACCCAGCTGCCGGGAAGGGAGTCGTCGCCGCGCCAGAGCCTTTTCTGACTGCCAAAAGAGGTAAAAAAAAATTTCTTTACTCGGAATTCAATTTTAAACACCCCCGTGGAAAAATCGGAGCGAAAGGACCGGCAGATTGGCCGAAAATCGCGAGCAAAGCTCGGCGACGCCACCACGGGAAATTACAAAAATTACCTTCAATGAGAAGCTGCCGCACCGAAGAGCCCCGTCACCGGTGAGTTTCAGTTTTTTATTTTTATTTTTTTGATTAACCGATGCCCCTTAATGTATTTTCTCGAAAAGATTGATGCAGATTTGTCCGAATTCGGCTGATAACAACCGACTTGAGGTAGACCGCCGCCGCGGGCGGCAGCGCTATTGCCGGAGCACGGTGGAACCACCGTGCCAAAATTTTAAAATTGGCCAAAAATGGGTTCTGAGACAGATTTTGGATTTTTTGATACATTTATAAGTACTTATAGCGCGTTTTAATTCCAAAAAAAAAATTCAGTTAACCCGCAGACCGCTACTAGGCGCAATCAACAGTTTAACTTTTCGGGCATCAAATTGAATAAGAATCTCTCACTCTACTCTTTGTTATGAAATTGAAGTCTAATTCACAAATAATACGGTATTTTGTGCAATTTATGAAATATTTATAATTAATTACAAGTTACTAATGGAGGCAGATCGGAAACTATTCATTGCTGATTCTATTAATTTGTTTTACAGTTTGAATGCATTATGGTAATTGATTGATTGACTTTATAGTTTTTAATGCATGTATTATTTGTTTTGTATGGTTATGATTGAATTGGGGAATTAGAGGTTAAATGTAAACGAACAATTTTGTGATTAAGTAAATGGATGAAACGACAACCCTATTAGATATCTTGGGAGCTGGTGGACATATCGAGTACATAGGAAACCCTACTGTGAACATTGTCTCATACCGGATAGGGTATCGAAACTTGGTAATTTGGCACTCATACCGGACGAGATATGAGAACGACCCGTTTTACCCTCATATCGGATCAGGTATTGAGATTTAATAATTTGACGCTCATACCGGACGTGATATAAGGACGGTCCGTTAATTGAGAATGTTAAAGAAAATTGTTCACGCGTAATGGGGACATCTCTATGAACCTCAATGGATAACAGCAGACTGATAAAAAGGAGCAGTTATTGTTTTGATTAATTGAATATGAAATTAAAATATGTGCATGTTACCGATTGCATATAAAATCATAATAAGTGTTATGTTATTATTTCTATATGTTATTTTAGTAAATATCGCTATGGTAAATGATTTTATTATTAATAAATAAATTTACTTAATTAAGTGCTCCATTAGTTGTTTTAATTTTTTTATCAACCTTCATTTCTGTATCAGTGAGTAGTGTAATATTTTTACTGGGATAATGTAGCTCATTTCTTATTTAATTATTTCATATTATGAGTACCAGGATTCAGAGCCCGATTCACAAGAGGGTTGCGAGTAGAATGCTAGTTTTATTTATCTTGCGCTTATTTCTTTATATTTTTTTTTTTGTATTTCTTTCTAAAGGATGATTCTCGTATCACTATTCGGTACTTTAAGTTATTGTGTAAGAAATGTAAACTTTAACTATTTATTTCGCTTCCGTACTTAGTTTAAATTTTATTTATTTTTTTAGTATTTTCAGGGTCGTCATACAAAAATAATAAAAATATAATACGAAAACTAAACTGAATTAAAATAGTAAAAAATAATAATTTAAATATTTTGAAATAATATAAAAACTAAATTAATGCTCAAAGGTCATCAACCAAAAGACAAAAGAGGAAAGGATCATTAATATTTGAATTAATTTATGCATTTATATATTTCAATTGACATAGTAGACAAATGGATTATAATATGGTCATGAGCAAACTTATTTCTAGTATAAGCTTATAAAAGTTTATAAACTTATTAATATTTTATGTTCAGTTTTTTAAATATATAATCCAGTAGCAAGAGCAGATGTGTTGTTTAGAGGTATTTTCTATATATTTGTTTATATTATATTATTTTCTTATATTCACAAATAAATAAAACAAGTTGTGCAACTCCAGAAGCAGGAGAATTGAAAGAAAAAGCTTTTGAAGCAGAAGGCAGCTCAAAGTTTCAGCTTTGATTGCAGCAATTTTTAAAGCCTGTCACACCCGACAAGCATGCGATGAAATGCTTCACCTTTTATCTCCTATTCTTATACATCACATAATAATTAGTCATGTGGATATGGTCTTTCTTGAAATAAACACCTTTTACTCCATTTCCATCTTCATTGCTTAAACTTAGACGTGCAAAAAAAGTTTCAATATATACAGTACTGAGCACATTCTAGTCATACCATTTCTGTAGTAAAAAACATATCACTTTCTTTTTCTCTTGTCTAAGAATCAAAAACAGATCTCACTTAAAAGATGAGCAATTCGACTTTTTAAGTACACCATAAGTTTACCTGCATCAATTAATTGGTTGGTTACTTTCGATTACGTTAATCAAACAGTTCATAACACCCATCTATCATATGCATAGAAATAGGCAAAGTGAAAACTAAAGGCTTTCCAGCTGTGCATTAAAAATACCGATGATACAGCTAACATAATGCAAGAACAAGACTTGGAAAAATAGATTATGCCTTCATATGCATAAAATGTCTAACACAATCTTGTCCTTTATACATCATCTGAAAAAGACTCCCTGGAGACAAGCTCTACATATTAACATGAATACAGAGAAAGGATCCAGCAGATTCTTTTTCAAGTTGAAAGAGCATATAGGTTGGATCTCAGACATGATTTTTTTCATATAGTCTAGCAGCAGAGTCACCATGTATAAAACAAAAGCTATTAGGCAACTACAATACCACTTGGAATCATTAACACTTCAACTGTGATATATGAGTTCCAAGAACAGGGACAAAGAAAGCAGTATCAACTTTTATACTAGCAGGCCCTTGAGTAGTACAAAGGATATACTCAAACCCACATTAGAATGGACTAATATGAGAGGGCCACAAAAAGAAAGAACAATTACCCACTCAACCTTTTGTCCTCATAATTGTGATGCTTCCCTTTCCACCTTCAGTGCGAATCTTTGTTTTGCCAACCACTGGCTTCCCAGAAAAGGCTGAAGTTGGGTAAGCAGAAGGATCTTCCTCATTTTGCTTTGATTTTGATGGTGGAGGAGTGCGGATCCGTTGATTAATGTCCTTAAGAGTGACATCTCCATGGACCCCAGTGGGTTTAATAAATGCGAACGGATAGACAACAGAAGAGGCTAACTTGGTTGGGGTGCGAATAAAAGACTTCTTCCCTAAATGAGCAGAATAGTTTAGTTAGTTTTCCATATGTCAAAATAAATCTACAGCCCAGAACAAAGATATTAGTCTTTTCAACATAGTTTACTTATTTCTGTTTTGGAGAAGAAAACCCCAACTTTACGACGGTTTCAAGGTTGATTCAGGTAAAAGTTGACAAAACTACATGCCTCAATCAACTAGAAATGCATTTCTAGATTTTGGGGCAATCTGGCTTCTTGACTTGTTCAGTTACAATTTATTTTCCTGTTTTGCCTCTCCCTGAGTTCAGTTTATTCAGAAACTTTCACTGGATCTATAACCAGTGCACAGCTCCTATTACTATTACTATGGCAAGAGCGGTGCGATGATTTCTATAAAAGTACCCATAAGAACATATGAGCCAGAAAAAAGAAAGAGACACAGATAACAAAGAGACACCTTTGAAGACAACATTTCGAGGAGTTCGGGAAACATGCTGCTGAACCACACTGGCTTCAGACTCAGGGGGATCATTCCAGAACCCTACACCAGATAACAGATTTTAGAAACTTAAGAATTGCATAATGTGATGAGAAAATAATAAAAAAGAAACAGAGAATTATTGTATGAAAAAGCATTCCCAAGCACCTGAAACGTCAATTTGAATATCAGATGCCCCAGTGAAGTTCCTGATTCTCACATTACAAAAGCAATCAGATTACGGCGGAATAGTGATCAAATTAAGAGGCTAAAATCCAAAGAAGCATACATATCATCTGGACTGAATTGCATCTCGGCATCATTTAAGCACTCAGCAAGCCATCCTTCAGATGATTGATCAAGACCCTCATAACTGGAAGCAGATGTATCTTCTGACACGCATTATAATATGATTAACATTCATATAACATCAAGTTGATAACAGATAAAATTGTGTTACAGAAGACAAACCTGGAAACCCAGGCATCCACTGTGATCCTTCATGAAAAATTTCTTCAAGTGATTCCTTGCGCTCCTACGCATTGAGTGAAGAACATAATGGGGGCAATAAACAAGATATTTGAAAAGTAGAAGAGTAAGCAAGTAGCCAAAGGAATAAAATCAGAATTCTTTAATTAGTGACAGAAGTATGGTTAAGAGTAGAAGAGACATATTCTATTAAAAATTAATGACCCAGGCAATAATGGGAAAACTACACTGTGCCCAACAATGATTGATGCTAAAGTACCTTATTCTTTGAACTGTGAGAACAAGCTGTTTTGTATTTACCCAACAAAAAGCACTTAAGGTTCAAATTAAGTTCATAAGGAAAAATTTAAAAAATGTTGAACGGTCTGGGTCTATATATGATAGTATTTAAACAAATGCCAAACACATTTAACAAATAATTGTTTTGAAGGTTGGCATAGTTACCTTTGACTGGAAATGTGGCGAACCAAATCATAAATTTACATATATTATTGTCATGGATAATAAAAGTTCCTTTGACATGATAACAAAAAGGCATCCATTACCATCTGTATATTGTCAGGCAAACTGTAAGTCGAAGAGATAATTTTAGTTAATATCAATTGCATAGTGCAGATAGCATTTGACCAATGTCTAATGCTTTTGATAAGGATATCCATGTAATAACTAGTTGTATATCAGTAACATTTGATTTTAGACTTGCAGAGATGCCAGACAAGAAATGAGCTATTTAGTACTAACATTTGCTTTTAGGAATTCTGATGATATCACATCTTTGCGGCAAAGAGAGGAATCTACCGATTGAGAGTCAAACTGTAGCATTCGACGCCTTTTTACTTGGGAACCAGTCTCCCTACGATCTTCTAGCTCCTTGTCTACATTGCCTGATATCAATTCTTTTTATATTAGAAGAACTTGGTGTGTGTGTGTATCACATAATCAGGAATATGAGATGATGCCTACCACCATGAGTAACATTATATGCCAGATCCCCACAAGCCTTAACTGGGGTTGTTTCATCAAACATGTAAGAAATATCTTCTTCATTCCACAAGCACTCGGGTATCTCTGTCAAAAACAACAAAATTTCGACATGTTTAACAATCAGTATGCTGCAAATCAACTGGTAATTTAGGAACCATGTGGAGCACTTACCAAAATCAGTGTCCTTTTGGAGACAGTAATCCTCCCGTTGCCAATCCCATGGCTGGTTACTACCATTTCATAAGGTGAAGAACAATGTGAGGAACTCGGTAATTACAATTCTAGATCTCAACAAGTGGATATAATTATATAAGAAGACTCCTTAAGCTTAAACCAAAGCCAAAAACAATCTAATCAACAAAACCATGTAGAAACCAAACATCACATGGAGCCAGGATAATAACAAAAACATTAAAAAAGTAAAGATAAGACATGAACATGAAGCATTAGATCCAGTTAAGGAGAAATTAACAAACATCACATTGTGAATAATAGAATGGCATCAGTATCAAATTGGATCTAAGCAGAGCTGTAGTGAAACCGGGAACTTAAATAATAACAAAGAGACAATCCAGTGAAAGGCAAATATGGAGGAAGATAAAAGGGAATATAACAATGACCCACCATTTTATTCAGAGCCCACAACTTCATTTTCACTTTACCTAACAGTTGAAGACAAATCCACAAATACCCATCCAAAGTTGAGAAGAAAGTATCAACGAAAACCATCTTATCAAAATCAACACTAAATCAATTATAAACACATAAGGAACAAAACTAAAAAACTAAAGAGAAGAAGAGAATCCCCAAAAAATTAAAAGAATAAATGAGATAATCAAGCGAGACCCATCTCACAAAACCAACATTGAATCAGGAAATCAAAACATAATCTCCAAACATGCGCACACACAACTAAAGGAAAGGAAAAGAAGAAAAGAAGAAAGACCTAAACAAACATCGGAAATGATGCATTTCCAAACCCACTCAGAAATCAAAACTAAGAGAAAAGAAAATAGTCATAGACAGATGGATTTACTTCTCATTATTGTAATCCATGACAGTCGCTTCCCTTGAACAGTGCCGGAATATCAGTCTCTCTCCCTTCCTCCTCACTCCACTACCATCAAAAGTAGCCGTTACCCCCAGATCACCACATGTAGCCAAAATAAACAAGTTTGCCTATGTGGGGGATAAGGACATATATATACCGGCACTACACCGCTGGTGCTCGCGATATGTGCTGCTGGCCATCTATCTATATATTGTGAATAAAAGAAAAAGCGGCGTCCTTCTCTCTCTCTCTCTCTCTCTCTCTCTCCTCCTCCTCCTCCCTTTTTTTAACCTTATTTTCTGTGTCTTTTAATTTCAATATTTATGGCCGTCTTCCATTTCTCAAGTCGCTATATATACGGGGATACAAATATCATCAACCAGAAAAAAGGACCATTACGGGGTACGCTTTGCTTCTGTACCATCCTTTTTGACGTCCGTTACTCATGGGATTATCCTACATAATTAAAATTGACCCATTTAATCAACATTATTACGTTAACTTTCCTTAAGATTTCCTGCCAAACGTAAATTACCTTTTTTTAAAAAAAAAAAAAAATTCTTCATTTTTCCCTTACTTCACGCGACCATTTGGCGCGTGACAGACGGTTTACTCCCGAAAGAAAACTGTCCCCCCGCGCTTGAACCCACCACTATTCTCCCCGCGTGCTTGTACCTTCCGGTATCTGCGTGAGATTGATATATCTATTTTTTTTAACCAGAGTTGGCACGTGGCCTTCCCTGTTAGGGTTGGAGTTTGACCGTGGGCCGGGTGAGTTGCCAAACAGTGGGTTTCGCCCAGTGTTTTCGGGTACCCGAGAGCGGCTTAAATAAAATTTTTCAGATTTATCATGACACTAATATAATTAATTAATAATTCATTAAGAAAGAATTTAAATAAATAATATTTCATATAGAAGAAAATTAGTTGGCTGAATATTTGATTTTATTTTCTAGGAATGTTTCCTCAATTGCAAATAATTTCAATTTTTTCTATTTAATATTTGTAAAGTTCTTAATGGAATTTGATTTTACAGGAGATTCAAGTTGATTGAAAATTTTAATATATGAATATATATTGATTATTAAGATTTATAAGTCTTAGCAACAAATTTAATGACTTACCATAAATTATTTTGAATCAAAACATGGTCAGATAATTTTAATCAATAAATTATTTATTAAAAAAATTAATAAAACTGTAAAATGGTTTTCATTTTATTATCTAATTTTAATATTATTTGTGAGAGTAATACCAACTAATACTTATTTTCAATTACCAAAATTATTTTTTATATACTAAACAAATTCTCAAATTAAACTCATATAACATCCTCAATAAAAGAAAAATATATACATAAATAAAATTGTAAAAAAAGAAAGGTAACCTTCTCATAAAAATAAAAATACAAAATATATAAAAGGAATATTATTTAAAATACAAATTTATATTTGTAATAAAAAATAATTAAAAATCTAAGAGGAAAATAGAGCATTAATGTAACGACCTCGTAAATACACAAAGGAAATAGATAATAACTTAAGTGAGGAAGCAAAATAAAATTGTTAATGTTTACATTTCTTACACAATAACTTAAAAGTACTAAACAGCATTACGAAATTCACTCATTTGAAATACACACGAAAAATAAAGAAATAAACGGAAAAGAGAAAATATATAGCATCTACTCGCAATCTTCTTGCAGATCGGGCTCTAAAATCTGGTCCTCTTAATCTAAAATTGTTAAATAAGAAATGAGTTATACTAGCCCAGTAAAAATATCACACCATATCACTGACACATAAATAAATATGGGTATAAAAACAAAAATAACTAATTGAGCACTAAATTTAGCAAATTCATTTATCAATCATAAAATTATTTATCGTTCACTTACCGAGTGAAATTTATAAAAACAACACATGCAAATAATAACATCATATGGATCATAATTTCACGTAGGATCAGCAATATAGCACATATCATAAATCTATACACATCGTCAAATAATCAAACAATAACTGTCATTTTCACCAGCCTACTAGTATCTGTGGGGGTTAATAGGGATGTACTTACTACACGTAACCCTTTTCATTTAACAATCTCAATTACGGATTATCCCCATACTCCGTCCGGTATGAACACCAAATTATCAAACCTCAATACCCTATCCGGTATGAGGGTGAAATGAGTCGTCCTCATATCTCGTCCAGTATAAGCGCCAAATTATCAAGTCTCTATACCCCGTCCGGTATGAGACAACGTTCACAGTAGAGTTACTTATGTACCCGGTCCGTCCACCATCTCCCATGATATCTAGTAAGACTGTCGTTCCATCTGTTTATTTAATCACAACTTTTTTATTTTCCGTTAGTCTTAATTTTCTACATCAACCATGATCACATAAGCAAACGAACATGCATTAGAGAATGCAATCATATCTCAATTTTTCAATCAAACAGTAGTCATATAAGTCAGCAATTCGTGCATTCAAACCATAAAATTGATAAATAAGATACCATCATACTTTTAAACTGTAAAATAAATCAATAAAAATTAACACAGAACAATTTCCGATTTGGGCTCAATTAGAAATTCGTAATTAATTATGCACATTTATTTAATTTGCACAAATACGATATTATTATTTATTTAAACTTTAATTTTATGATAAGGAATAGGAAGAGAGATTCTTACTCGATTTAACGCCCGAAAAGCTAAACTGGCCGGTCTTTTTGCTCCGATTTGACTATGGGTGAGCTTAAAATTGAATTTCATGCAAAATGAGAAGTTTTTACACTTTTTTGGTGGTCGAAAAAGGTTCCGGTGCGGCGGCAGATGGCAGCGGTCTGCTCCCCGGCAGCTGGGTCGTCTTCTCCAGTGAGGGGGTCTGACAGCTAAGGTTAGGGTTTGGTGCGGATGTAGGTTATTTATATCCGTCTGTTTTTGATCTTGGCTGTTCATCTTATTTGATCTAAACTGTTAGATCGTAATTAAATAGGGAGTGAATCTGGACCGTTCATCGCAATTCAATCTGGGTCATCTATCACGATCCACTCTGGACCGTCCGATCGAGTTTGAATCTGGCCGTTCGATCGCATTTGGGAGGGAGTGTATCCAGGCCGTCCGTGCATACGGGAACGAATCTGGGCCGTTCGATCGCGGGCATGTGGATCGCCCACGTGGCTTCCTGTGTAGCACCGTATCAGCGCTCGTTGTCACATGGCATGTCATGGTTCGTCGGGGCTGCTGATTGAGCGTCTCACGTGACATAACTTTTTTAAATTGCATTTTGATATCTGGTTTTCGATTTTTCAAATTATCCATAGACCCCAAATTTTTACCCATTTTTTTAAAAATTATTTTTAATTTCATCATCATTCAATTTTTATCATAAATAAAATAAAATAAAATAAAATAATAAAAAATTATATTTATTCATTATTTATCACACAAATTTTTATTTATTTTATATTATTATTATTATTTTTTGGGTGTTACAATTAAAACAAAAGAGAAAAGGCCTCGATTTTAAATGTTTAAACATAAGAGTTTGCAGTTTCGAGTATCTTCTCTTTTAGAAGAATTGAAGATTGTTTATCTTCTCAGGTGTCTTGATCTCTCATTAACTATCGGAAGCTGCGATATAAAATCCCTGTAAGAAACATACCCACAAACCCTCCCTCTCTGCTTTCTCATTTCGGTCTGGATCTGGCTTATTTCACTTAGATTGATATCCATCGCAGCAATTTCTGTTTTTCAAAAAAAGCAAACGGAATAGAGATCAGACAAGATGAATATATTCAGGTTAGCAGGTGACATGACTCACCTTGCAAGTGTTCTCGTCTTGCTCCTCAAGATCCACACCATCAAATCATGCGCTGGTACGCTCGATTTTCTTTTCTCTTTGTGTTCGGTTGTATAGACTATTGGGGGTACTTGATTGTGTTCCTGTTCTTTGATTATTGAAAAAAGGAAGATATGGACATTTTGTTAATAGTAAAGCTTAGGTTATAATGGAAAATGGTAATTGTAGTTGTGATAAGTTTGCAGTGCAATGATGAAATTGCAGATCTAGTCCTATTTCGGTTAGAAATGGAGTGCTTACTTTGTGTTGATGGTACTAGGCACATAGACTAGGAATGTGGAGCTGTAATTTGATTTTCCGAGAACATGATTTTGTGAACAGGGAGCGAGCTTGTTTAAGATAATCTAACCAGTCAGGAATCTGAGTTTTTTATAGGGTTTATTTAAAATATTCAATAAAGAAACTGAAGATCCCTGAGTCTAAAACATGTCAAGCATTTTGGAAATGATACGTTAGAATGTAACTTTATGGAAGCAGCTAAAAGAAAGCAAGGTTGCCCAGACACTTCACAGCTATTGTAACTTCATGAGTAGAAATGGAGGCTATAATGTTGTAAAATTCAGTCTGCATCCCTAATTCCTTGTTATGGATAGATATAACAAGTATTATTATTATTATTTTGAGAGAGAAGAGAAGGAGAAATACCATTAAAAGGCAATGCCCACAAACAAAAATTACAAAGATAAGAGACCAGAAATTTACAAGGTTTCCCAACCCATCTCACCAAGCATAGGATATCTATAAGCAAAATATTCAGGGTATGGAGCCAGTGATCTCTAATCCTTTGAAAAAGAGAGCAAGTGCCCTCAAAAACTCTTGTATTCTTCTCCTTCCAAATAACCCAAAGAGAAGACTTAGGAATGAGATTGAGGAATTTTTTCTTACATTTAGAAGTGTATATGCCCAACCAAGCTTAATTTTCTTCAGCAACGGAACCCGACACAATTCAGATTTAAAGGTTTAATTGCATAACACCTAGGGTTTCTTAGTCATTAAAGGTTTAATTGCATCGCACAACCAGAAAAATGAGAAATTCTCAGAATATTATTGAATAATTGAATAATCAATAAGTGAAGTTACAAAGTTATTTTAATAAGCTCTTAGTAACTAGAATTGAAGTAAGAAATAGTAAACTAGTACAATTAGGGATATTAATCCTAATAAGAATAAAAAACTAATACTAATGATAATAATACTATTAATTCTAGTACAAATAAGAGAATACTAATATAAATACTAAGTCAGTGAAACTATAGTAATTGTCCTAAATAATATAAAATAGACTCCTAAATAGTATAATAATTTTACATGTAATATAATTGCAGTTCCTAATTTATTTAGGAACCTAGTGCTAACCCACTTTGTATCATATTATTACTGGAGGCACATTTGGCAATTGTAATGAAGTATTTGATTGGTACTAGGTACTAAAACAAATACTATTCATGTTGTCCTGACTTAAAATCTACTTTTAATGCTTGTATTTTTGCATTTGGATTGAGTTCCACAGGTTGTTTTTCGATCAATGAAATTCATCTTTACCCAGAAGAAAATAATTTCATTTTGTTGATATCGTGATTAGACTGATTTTTGTCTTTTTAACGTGTTGTAGCTTATGATTTATTTTTCTTAAAAAAATGTGTTGTAGCTTATGATATTTAACATTAGGGTATACATGCAGGCATTTCTTTGAAGACTCAAGAACTCTATGCCATTGTTTTTGCTACTCGTTACTTGGATATTTTTACCTCCTACATATCCTTTTACAATACTATCATGAAGTTGATATTTTTGGGGAGTTCGTTTTCAATCGTTTGGTACATGAGGCACCACAAGATTGTTAGGAGGTCTTATGATAAAGAGCAAGACACATTCCGCCATTACTTCCTTGTGCTGCCTTGCCTAGTGTTTGCCCTTGTCATAAATGAGAAATTCACCTTTCAGGAGGTCTGGTAAAAGCTTCTATAATTTCAAGTTGTTACACAATTGTTTGAATTTATTCTTGTTATTGTTTCTGGCTATTTCACCTTGTTTTTCTATCCTGCTATATCTGTGGGGAAAAGAGATATTCATGCTTTTGGTTTAATTAGGTTATGTGGACATTTTCATTGTACTTGGAGGCAGTTGCTATACTTCCACAGCTTGTGCTCTTACAGAGGACCAGGAATATTGATAACCTGACAGGGCAATATGTATTTCTTCTTGGGTATTGCTCTTATCATTATCTCAATGAAAGAAAAAAGAAAGAACGCTCCGCAATTTTATTCATCTTCATCTTTATTTTGCCCCTTTCAAGTTGCTTGTGTTTTACATCAGAATCATTTTAGACATTCCTTCTGTTTAGGACTGTTAGTAATGGTTATTAACAATCGTACTTTTTATTGCAACGACTAATTTCATGTTAAGTTCGTCATATATCTTAGTGTTTCTTTCATCTTTAACCTACTGATGAACAAATTAGAGATGTGGTTAATTATATTGATTTAAAGTTCTCCATCAGTTTAGTACATGGGTGGTACCCCCGTTTTTGGTATCTCTTTAATATACATACTATACTTTTTATCTAAAAAAAAGTTCTCCATCAGTTTAGCTACTAAGTAGTAAGTATGAATGTCAAGCTGCAAGTAGGAATTTGTGCCTGCTAGTCTAGGTTGGTTTTATCCTTGAAGTTTCTGGTTTGAATTCCCCACCAGCAATGTTAATGATACTTTGCATTGTCTTTTATCTGTCATGCATGGATGTCACGAATAATGAATTGTGTGGGGTCGTGCTGTTGCTAATTGAAGCAATTTACCACTTCCTTATAGAAACTTAATACAATCAACTGAATTTGGCTTTACTTTCTTGTTGATGGCTTCTCTCTCTCTCTCCCTTGCTCTCTCTCTCTTGCTGCTGGAGCTACAGAATAGCATTTCTGAGCCATATTGTGTAGAATTTTTTTTTTTTTGGCATCTGGAGTCCTCTGTTTTGGAACTGATCATGAGGTAAATTGATTATTCCATGGAAATGGAGAACACATAAGTTATGTTGATATGCCTAGAATATCACTCTGGATAAATTAAGGATGAGTGGTCTGGTAATAGTGAATGGATGTCATCTTTGCCTACAGGCTGAGGAATCATGTAACCATTTACTCTTATGGTGTCCTACAGCGTATTATCTTTGGAGTCTGGTCTATGGACTGTTGGGAATCAATTGGGTTATGGCGTGTGCGGTGCGGGATGAAACGTGGGCTTGAGAAAGTTTATGTATAAAATGAAGAATTGTTAATTTAATTTCATTGACTGTTTTTTAGGTTTTGTGGAAAGATGGAGCTTTTAAGGGTAAACAATGTGGACTAACTAGATTAAGGGATAAGTGGATACATTATTTTGGGACTATTTTGATTGGTCATGACATTATTAGTGAAAAGGATTTGGGGAATGTCATTGACACTCTAACACTTTTATAAAGTTTTTGTGCATGGGTGGTACCCCCATTTTGATACCTTATTAATATACATCTTATACTTTTTATTTCAAAAAAAAATGTTGATATGCTTATAAATCTATCATTTTAAGTTTGACCTTGATATAAGATCTGCATGACATGGTTGGAACTCCAAAATGGATTTCTGGCAGTATTGCATGTCATTGCGCTGGATGAGCTTTTGTTGTGATAAGGAATTCCACTTTCATCTTTCTATATATTGTTATCTGTTATGATCCTATTTCTTTTTATTCTCTGTTTAATTATTTGCTTTGGACCTTAACTATTAGTATTGTGAGTTTTTGTTGATGGAATTCAGTTGTAATTAGTATGGACAAAATACAAGATTAATTCATGAAATTTCACTCCCATTTAGCTTTCCATGCCATTTATCGACGTGTTGGAGTTATACACTTTTGGTATAAGAACTTCTAGTCCTGGACGTTTGATGTCATTTCCCTTTATAATGAAATATTTTTCGGTTAGTCCCTACATCTGTTGGAAATCTCATGCAAGGTTGATTTTGCCAATGTTCAAAATTGTTATTTGTCTGTTTTGATTAATGATTTTACACATTTTGCATGATTGACTCATAAAGCTGGCATTTTCTTGAAGTTCAGAAGCTGGAGAGAGATAATTTAATTCAATTTCTGCTGTCCTAATGCAGTGCATATCGGGCATTATATATTCTCAACTGGATTTACCGCTACTTCACTGAGCCACACTATGTCCATTGGATACGTATGTCTATCTGCCTCTCTCAAACACCACCTTCTGTTCTTGTGCATTGGTTGAATATGTAGTGCATGTCTGACTCTATTTGTATTTTTCTTGAGCATGTTCACTCAATTACAGAGCAGCTAGGGACCTCTTTTGTGTGGTTGCTTGTGGTAGTTCTTCATTTAATGAAGATTTTCTTGTAGCCTGTGCAAGTTCTTAATTGCACAGCTGCAGATATATATCTTGCCATGCTAACACTGATACAGCAAGTTATATTCTTTAGTTTGTCCTACATTTTACATGAATTGTTTCAGTTCTACTGATTTTCTAGGCTCTTTTTGGGTGGTTGTTATTACTGGAAGCTTGGTATATTATAAATTGCAAACATGTAGGGATTGTTGTACAACCTATCATTGTGGTCTGATGGGGGGTAGAATCAATTTTTAATGCATAAAGACATGAATTAAAAGGTGATATGAACATATGGGTAAAAGACGAATGTAGAGATTATGTGCTTGGTAATGTGCGAGGAGTAGTATCTGTTGTAATCTGTTCTATTCATGTTAACTTTGAGGCCGATTTTGAATTAGGAGGCTGTTTCAGTTAGAAAGTTGTGGATATCGAAGACTCTTTGAGCCAAAATATCTGTATACTGATTCTTCCCCTCTCTATATGAATGATGAACTGTAGTATGCTTAAATTTGGTAATGACCCGTAGCCATTTATAATATTGCTGTGAGTCCTGGTAGGAGCTCAATTGCTATGAATCGGCAATAATGTTTACCAAAAATTCCTGTTTGGTGAGGAGCTTCAAAAGCAATAACTGAGTGCCATTTTGTAGACATCTCCTTATTGCCAAAAGTAGTATGATTCAACTTTCTAGTGAAGTCTCTAATCGAAGATTCTCTTTATTATCATGGAATGAAATATCATTGTTAAATTGACTCAGGGTTGTGGTTAAAGGTCGACCTAATTAGCTGATCCTGGGTTTGATCCGCACTTTAAGTAGAAAAAGAAAACCCAGGACTAGGTGGATATCAACTTATAAAAAGCTGCTATGGAGTCTGAAGCCTAAATATCTCCTTGGGTTAGCTGGATATCTATCTATCATAAGATGCTGGTCATCACAACAGACTATTGAAGTCCATGCATTCCGTTCTTTGCTGAGTAGCTATGAACAGTTTGGATATTTTTCTCAATCAGAGAAATGAAAAGAAACAAAGATGCACTTAAAAGAATTTGATAATTGAAAATTTGTTATTGAAATATTTCTTCTGGGTTCTGTTCATTTGAGAAGGTGAACGTGGCCCTTGCTTTAGTGTTTCTTTTCATACATGAATTACAATGATTCTTCCACTTGGCTTTGCCAGCTTGGATTTCGGGGATTGTTCAAACGCTGCTCTATGCTGACTTCTTCTATTATTATTTCCAAAGGTAATTTGCCATTTTAGAGGCATTTTGATTTATGTTGTGGTTTATTTTGGTTAAATTATATAGAATTCTTGATGTTTTTATAGAATAGTTTCTACTAGATCCATTATTTTTTGAAAATTTGATCTTTGAGTTAAAATGTTGTTTTTAGTTTTCATTACATGAAATATTCATGTTCACAATTTTAGTTTTCCTTACAATCTTGGTATTCTTTTTATATTTTAATTCCTCATATAAATTAGAACTTGTTTTGTATTTTTCAAACAAAATCACTTATTATGTTGTTTTAATTACTTATCAGTCACCAGAACTCGGTAACTGAAATTGATAATATGGTTCTTGTGAAATGACTAAATTATTATTTTTTAAAAAGTAACAGATTCAGTTGTAGTTATACCAGTGTCTCAAAAACCTGAATTTAATTTATTACTCTTTTTGTTTTAATTGCCCGGCGATAATCTTTTTGTTTATATGCAGCTGGAAGAACAACAAGAACTTGCAGCTACCGGCTTAAAATGTCATCTTCCATTGCCAAAAGCTAGAGAGAAAATGTATTGGTTTGGAGATCTATACAAAATGTGGCAACTGCAGATTACTGCTCTTTCTTAAGTTTTTATACGCGGGTGCCTTGCATTGCAAGGCACCTATTTAGTTGGTATTCATGAATGCCCCAGTGAATTTAATTTGTTAGTGGCACTTAGTGCTCCCTTGTAGAGCTATTGACATCTCCATGAATTCCCTTGGGATCATTTAATAGATGGTGATTAAAGAGTATGATGGTGATAACCCATTACAATTTGCCACTGCCAACTTGCGGCCCATCATTTTAAGGTTGTCTTTGGGTTCCAGTTGCTTCCGACAGTGAATTTGTCTTGCAATACAAGGGTGCTGTGTTCTTCATCTCATGACATTTTTGGCTGTGGTAGTAAGTAAAACGTTAGCTTTTAATTTATTAAATTATAACTTTAAAAATTATTGTTCTTTTAGGTATTAGCATCTAGAGTTAAGCAGTTAATATTTAAATCCTGCAAGGCTGAATGGCAATTGCATCCCTCTTGAGTATATTTCTACTCAAACCTTAGATGTCTTTTTCTTTCAAGAAAAGAAAGTTTTGTCCTCAATGGAGATATATGAAAACTCTTACCCTCTCGGTAGAGAGGGGAGGAGATTATCAACTCACCTGGTTAAATGGCCGGCACATTTGGCTAACAATTTCATAACTGAAGTATCAATATCTTTAATAAGTTCATGAACAAATTCATATCTATTAAACACTAATTATATTATCGTCCTTAATTTTAAAATCTACATTTTTAATCTAATTTTTCGTGAAATTGTTATGACATTAAAATAATTTTAGAGTTGGGCAAATAATTCTTTTACAAAATAATTTTTCAGTCAGGTAAAACCACATTATCATGTAGTCATTCCCTCTCCCCGCCACATTCCGAAACATTATAATGTTATATTTGGTCCGATTGCATTCGCTTAACTTTCACTCTTTATTTTTACATCACTCTTCATAGAGAATTAGAATGTAATTTATATTTGCTATTGTCCGTCACCCTGACTACTAAAAACTTATGTCCTTATTAAACTGAGACTTGAATTTCATTTTCACACAAAATTCAAGGTGAAAGAAGGACAAGGCTAGAAATTCGACCGCTGGGCTAATCTTATAACACGAAAATTGGAAATTTTTTGAAGGAATTTATGCAAACATACCAAGCCTAAATATATGGAGCAGGCGTGCCAGTGGCAATATATCTATCTCTACATCAGAATTTCCAACACATACCGAGACATCGGATAACATTTCACAAAAAAAATAACCATAAGACAACACTGCATCAAGACAACATCCATGTTTAAAATTAAATGCCTCAGGGCCATATTGTAATCATACAAAACCCAGCATTAAAATCCATGAACTGATTGATAATTGAGTTCCAAACTTGCAAATTGCATCACATCCATTTCATTTACATATATCCATAGATGTAGCAAAATAAGAAAACTCTGCTGTACGCCTTTCCATAAGTATAACCCACATATTGCTGTTGCGCTTCAATAATATCCAGACCAACCTCCAGTCTGATGGAGCATTGCATCAATTTCATCTCCGTCTTCCATCTCAAGCTAAAAGCCAAAAAACAAATAGCAAGTAAATAAAAAGTAATAAGATGAAAGAAAATCTCCAAACATACAATGAAATGGACAAGTATCCACTGAGTTAGATGCCAACATCAAACATGTACTTGTTGCAATTTGCCAACAAGAAGAAGAAAATGGAACAAGAGCCTAATCAATATCAGAATGATAAATCTGATATTGCTGTCAATTGCAACCCTCAGCTATAAACATTATATTTTCACATATACTTCACTTACCTCATCTGGAGTCTGCTCACCACGGAGCCTGCGCCCATCAAAGAGGAAGGCAATGGAGTTGAAATCAACTGATTGACGATCACAATATGCAGTCATTAATTTGCGTAACTGGGTGCTTCTCTTAATCCTAAAGAACACCTCATTGCCATCCTACAAGAAATAAATGAAACACATAATAAAATAAAGATAGGCAAAGCAAAGAAAACAAGTAACTGTTTGAGAATTGCGAGATGAATGAAAGCCTAAAAACTCAAAATTATCATTTTTGAAAGAAGAGAATCAAACTATTTCTTTTTCACACAAACTTAACAGAAGTTTGAGGGAATGATTTATCACTGACAGTATTTGGATGGAAATTGGCAAAGGAAATTATATGAATGAGTATCTTTTCCAGTAAAGAATAAGGCATATATTCTTTTAGAAAATGGCGAAAAGGAAGAAACAATTGTCATAATTCTTCAGTTGGCTTAAAATGTAGAGGAATCTAATTGATACATTATGTTAGTACTTCGATTTTTCAAATGTATATTTATTCACAAGTGAAAAAATAAACAAATTGACACAAAGTAAACAATCTAACCTTAGAAACTGACATCTTTGCTTCCATCCCCTTCCACCAATTAGGGAATGAGATATTTTTCGAGGGTCATTCCTTTCTCCTATTTACTTATTTATCCAAACAAAGTAAAGAACTCATTTTTTCCCCCTTTTCCTTCACTTTCCTCAGTGTAAGGATCCCGTTTGAGAGGGGAAAGAGGAATTCAGGCATGATACTTTGGATCAAAGAGAAAACTATTTGTTTTTTTTCCTCCAACCATTTTAACTCGATACATTATAAGCCCCATTCCATTAATTCCCCTATCCCAAACCCAAACGGTGACTACCTTGGATAAGAGAAAAAAAAAAGAAAAAAAGAAAAACTAAGTCATGCAGCATGACGCGTTTTCAGCCAAAAACACTGACCAATTATGAGGACAGCATGTAACTCACATGAGAAACAAGTGCTCACATTTATAAATTT